GCGGCAGCTCCCCACCCCCCCCCTCCGCCCTGAGGCACCCACCCCGCGCAGCTCCCCACCCCCCAGCCCGGGGAGCCGTGCAGCAGCTCCCCACCCCAGCTCACCTCTGCTCCGCCCCCTCCCCGAGCACGCCATCGCTGTTCCACTTCTCCCGCCTCCCAGACTTGTGGCGCCAATCAGCTGTTTGGCGCCGCAAGCCTGGGAGGGAGAGAAGCAGAGCGGGGCGGCGTGCGTAGGGGAGGAGGCAGAGCAGAGGTGAGCTAGGGCGGGGAGCAGGTCCCCTGTGTGCCGCCCCCCCCCTTACTTGCTGCAGGCGGCCCTCCCCGCGCCCCTCTGCCCCAGCTCACCTCCACTCCACCGCCGCCCCGGAGCGCGCTTTTGTCCGCCCCCAACCACTTGGCGCCCTAGGCAGCTGCCTAGTTTGCCTATGTCTGCTGGAGCCCCGGGGTCGTGGCGGCAACCGGGAGCCCCAGAGCTCCAGCGGTGATTTAAGGGGCCTGGGGCTCCCGGCCGCCACTACCGCAGCAGAGCCCTGGGCCCTTTAAATTGGCGCCAGAGCCCCTCTGCCGGAGCCCCGGGGTAGCAGCGGCGTCCGGAGTCCCTGTCCATTTAAATCACCGCTAGAGCCCTGGGGCTCCCAGCCACCGCCGCAGCTACCGCTACCATGGGGCTCCGGCGGTGATTTAAAGGGCCCAGGGCTCCCACCCGCCTCTACCACAGCCAGAGCAGTGGGCCCTTTATATCTCTTCCAGTTGACCCCCCCCCCGCTTCCGGTTGAGGCCCCTCCCCCTCCACAGGACCCTGGCCCTGAGTACCGGTAAGTCCTTTAAGTTACTTTCACCCCTGTAGAAACTCCTCCATAGAGTTGGGCACTATACAGAATAAATGAATTAATTTTAGCTTCAAAAACCTCTAGAGTACCTTGCAAAGACCTCAGAGCTATCTGGTGTCCAGTCCTATTAATAAACACCTAAAGGGGCTGCCTTTGCCTTTTGTTTTATTTTATCCATAATGCTTAATTCTAATTTAGTACTACCCACTGAAGTCAAGAAGGGCAAGGGATTCTTATCTGTAAATGAAGCCACCAACTCTTAATACGAGTAATTGGAGGATATTGAACATGTACACTGGAGCAAGTTTGTTTCTGGCTAGTAAGGAGTAGACAGAGAAGTAGTGAAACACCTGCATTCAAGAATATCCTCTCTGGTACCCAGAGGATTTAGGCCACAGAATTCAAATCCTTTTATTTTAGGGCCAAGAGAAGAAACAACATCAAACAGACATGGGATGATACACCTCTTTTCAATCCCCTTCTCCAAAAGAAAGAGGTGCAGTTTTACCTGAAAAACGCTTGAGAACTAACGAGCTCTTAAAAGAAAGAATAAAGCCCATTTCAACCCTGCTTTTAGGCAACTTATGCCAGAGGAGAGTCCTACTAAGAACACCCAAAGGGCAGCAAACCCTGTGTAAAGCTTTTCCTGTAGTATCAGATATTTATAAATTGATTGACTAGGAGAGGCAATGCAAATCACTCATCAGCAGTAGAATGGTAAGTCTAGAAACTCTCTTATTATTCACACAACTACTGCACATTAGACCTGCTGTAGCAGTTTGGTTCACAGACACCTTAATACTTTACGGACTAGGTTCAGCATCCATAAGACAGTTGGTCTCTATCATGACGAGTCATTTTTATTACCTTTCGTAAAGATAAGATGGATAATGCTTCCATTCCAGCCCCTATGTAGCCAGATCTCTATTTAGCAGTGCAGAGGACAGGGGGAAAACAAACAAACAAAAACCAGGGTCAAATAGAAAACAATAGAAGTGTGATTCAGTTCTGAAAAGCAAGCATACAAAAAAGGCAGCTTCTTGCTCAGCAGGTTTCCTCTCCCCCACCCCTCCCTGTATTCAGTTCTTTCGTTACCTGAGGCCTGGTCTACACTACGACTTTAAATTCGGATTTAGCTGTGTTAATCCGAATTAATCCTTAACCCGTCCACACAACGGAGCCAGTTACTTCGAATTAAAGGGCACTTAAAATCGATTTCTGTACTCCACCCCGACGAGCGGAGTAGCACCAAAATCGATTTTGTTAATTCGAATTAGGGGTAGTGTGGCCGCACACCACCGAATTAATGTGGTTAAAATTAATGGAGTAGTGTGGCCGCACACCACCGAATTAATGTGGTTAAAAACCGAATTAATGTGCTTAGTGTGGCCGCGCACAATCGAATTTATACAATCTGTTTCCCAAATTCGAATTATCTAAATTCGGATTAATCCTGTAGTGTAGACATACCCTTAATGACACAACCAGATCTTTACTCCTGTTGGGCCAGAAGAGCCACCACAGCTCTGGGAGTAAGATGCGTTTTATTCCTTCTTTTGCATCATCAGCAACTTTCTGCTCTAAGTTCCCATTAGTTAAAGCCATGCAAACTCATTGAAGGCAACTGGAGTTGCACATTTAGCACTGAGGACATAATTTGAAGACAGTGAGGCTGCATAGTTGTAACAGGCACAGTTTTCTAACAGAACCTTTATTACAATGTATACGATACATGAGATGGAAAGAATTCATGTGGGCTGTCAGTGCCCAGACTGATTTTGCACTCTGAGAATTAGGGGGAGGGAATCATTTTATTTTATAAATGGAACGTTTCTTATGGGACTCATGAGAAACAAACTGCAGAATCCCACAGTGCCATTTTTACAGATTCAGTTTTCAGAGCAGGACTGTACATCAATAAATATTCTTGTGCAGGAACACCATACCTGGGCTGCATGGTGGTGAAATATGCCCACATAAGTTTTTCCACAGCTGCTGAAGGGGAATTGGAGATTTACCAAACAGATATGCACAGCTGCAGTTATCAGTTGATTTCAATTCTGCAATGGTCTTCTGGATCCTGATGTGAATTTTCACGCCTAGCTTGAAGTATGGACCCTGATTACCTCCTAAACAGCCTACTTCCCTCACATGATTGAAGACTGAGCACAATTTCCCTCAGTCTGACTTACTTGCTGAACAACTGCTCTTGCCTCCCCACCTAGGCTGTGCTCCTCCCACTTGACTAAGGAGGTACAACACCCTTGTTAACAGGGCCGGCTCCAGGCACCAGCGCAGCAAGCAAGTGCTTGGGGCGGCTAATGGAAAGGGGCGGCACGTCCGGCTCTTCGGCGGCAATTCGGTGGCGGGTCCCTCAGTCCCTCTCGGAGGGAAGGACCTGCCGCCGAATTGCCGCCAAAGAATGAAGCGGCGTGTTATAGGTTTTACCCCCACTCTGAACTTTAGAGTACAGATATAGGGACCTGCATGTGAACCCCTAAGCTCAATTAACAGCTTAGATCTGGTCTGACTGCCACCACCCAAATGATTTATGAGTTATTTGGGAAACTCTGTCTTCTCCCCCTCTCCCCAAAACCTTTCCCTCCCTGGGGAGCCTTGAGAGACTTCTTCACCAGTTTTCTGGTGAACACTGATCCAAACCCTTGGATCTTAACTCAAGGAGAATTTAACCATCCCCCCTCCTTTCTCCCATCAATTCCTGGTGAGTCCAGACCCAATCCCCTTGGATCTTAAAAACAGGGGAAAATCAATCAGGTTCTTAAAAAGAAGGCTTTTAATTAAAGAAAAGAAAGGTGAAAGACAAACCTCTGCGAGAGATTAGCATACCAGCTACTCTCACAGACAACAGATTCAAAACACAAAGGATGTTCCCCTGGGCAAAACTTAGTCACACAAAAGAATACCCAATTTGATTATTCCCCTAATTGCAAGACAAGTTACAAAAAGAAAATAAACAAAACCTATTTATTCCTTTTTTAATACTCACTACTCTGATAAGAACTGATTCCTTGATTTTTTGCACTCCAGCCAAAACTGAAAACTGTCCCAGACAAAGGGAACTTCCCTCCTTCCTTTTGAAACATTTTGTCCCCCTATTGGTTCCTCTGGTCAGGTGTCAGCTAGGCTAGGTGAACTTCTTAACCCTTTACAGGTAAAAGAGGCATTAACCCTTAACTATCTGTTTATGACACGGCGGCAGTAGAGCTACCAACGAAGTTCCGGTCATGGCTTTTTTTTCTTTCGCTGCTTGGGGCGGCAAAAACGCTGGAGCCGGCCCTGCTTGTTAAGAGCCAGATTCTGATTTCTGTGGGGCTTTAGGGACCCTTTCTCAGATCTGCACCTACAAAAGGGTCAGGATCAATTGACGTCTATGTGATCTGGAGAACACAGGGGCTGTTCCATTCTGACTCCCTAGGGCAGGGGGAGACAGCACCATTGTTTTTAGTGGGGAGGGGTGAGGAAGAGGTAAGATCATGACTCCACCATTGACTCTGCTCCTGCATGCTAGGTAGTTCTAGGAAGCATTTTGCCTCTGAGGCACAATTCCTCCCCACGATCCTGCTGAGGTGGGAGGGCTCCCCACCCCCCTTTACTCTAGACTTAAGCTAAACAGGCTTAGCTTTGCCCCATGTGTATCTGGTACCTATGTTGAGAAGACTGGCCTGGCTGTCATGTTCAGTCATTGGCCAAACCTCATCAATGTATCGTTTAAATTCTAAGCTGGATTGTTGTCATGTTACACGTGCCCCAGATCAGAGAAGTTTACAATCTGTACAAAGCCAATTACTATATTATTATTAAAACATTTAACCTTTTGCTTCCAGGTACTGGGACCTGGTTTTGATTCCTTCATTCTGCTGGACTATTTAAATCAGGCAGTTTCTGCTGTTAGCACCTTATGTAGGAAATGCGGGCCAAATTCTCTGCTGCCACTGCACTCCCTTTACCTCACTCAGAGCAATGGGAGTGGCCAAAGCACCAGGCACTCCCACAACCCCTATCTAGCAGCTGGTCCCTAGTTGCTGTAAACTGCACCTGTGACCAAGGCTGGGTGTAGAATCAGGAGCTGTAACAGGCTCCCTCACAGAACCCCTTCCCCTCCCTGCCACACCCAGCACGTGTTTGATGCAGCAGGGACTCTGCCTCTCTATTTCTATAGCCGAGTCCAGTGCTATTAAACTAACAATTTGTCAGTAGATTACAAATAAACATCATGTATGCCTCCACCTAGCTGTCTGTAGCCATCTGATGTCTCTTGCCTTATACTTAGATTATCAGCTGTTTGGGGCAGGGACTGTGTTTTTGTTCTGTGTTTGTACAGCACCTGGCGCACTAGGGTCCTGGTCCATGACTGGGGGTCCTAGGTGCTATGGTAATATTAATAATGACTAGAATAAAAGAAACCTAAGGTAATGTGCCTTTTTTTAAAAAACAGATAAAGAGGTCTGTCCAGCAGAGGTAAAACTCAGACAGAACTGTGGTTACCCCGGCATCCCTGCTAAAGAATGTGAGGCAAGAGGATGTTGTTTTGAGTCAAACCCCCCTGCTGTCCCCTGGTGCTTTTTTCCTCATCGGGTGGAAGAAGGTAAGTTATGTGTGTGAAATAAAGTTAATTTTCTCAGGACATGAACACACAGAAGTTTGTAGTTGGGAATTTTATTCTTTTACTTTCTGGTCTCCATTATACTTTGCAGGCTAAGAGTTGGTAGAGAATTCCCTTAGACTAAGCTTCATGGAGTTTTCCTTCATTATTTGCTTGTGTTCAAGTCTTGCATGCGCAGGGTGTGAGTGAGGTAGAGATGTTTAATGTTTAAAAAAGGGGGAATGAATAATCATAGAAATATGGGCCTGGAAGGGACGTCAAGAGATCATCCAGTCCATCCCCCTATGCTGAAGCAGGATATAATTATTTATTACATGACACTCACAGCTGTTATAATGTCGCCTGCAGTGATGTTTGTGTGTCATTAAAGGGATATGAAGACAGTTGTTGTGCATACAGTACTTAGTACTGCTCTGCAGCTAACCCTCTCCAACCAGGATCCTGCATCCTAGGACCAGTCATCAGGGTATCAATGCCACAAGGAGGGCACAAGAAGGTGGTTCAGAGTCCAGATGGGGCATCTCAGCCAGTCTGGAACTTCCCCTCTGTGGATCACAGCTCCCATCTTAGTCATCTCCTCTATGTAACAGAAATAATAACACCTTTACACACATTCCTTGATAGATCTTCGTAACTCATGTGCCTTAAACATATAGAAAGATGTGTAGGAGGGAACTGTTGTGCTGAACAATTGCCTGATATACAACTTTTTGTTATTTGCCACAGGCAAACCAATGCTTTTAATCTTCTATGGATCTGATGAAAAAATTCAATCCTTAACCCATTTTCTTTCTTTCTTCCCTAGCTTGTTAAAGAGACTGTGCACCAGGAACTTTCACCAGGAACCTCTCTGTCAATGGAACTACTCACGCAGGAAAATAATAGAAAGCCCTCACATCGTACACTTCGCACTCTGTAATCATTCTGATTTCCAGATCATTTTTGCCTTGGATTTACTCCTTTTCCAATGACCTAATTAATCACAGCTTTTATTCTTTTCAGTTGGTTGGTACCGGGCAGCTGTCCAAAGCAATAAAAGAATCAAAACAAAATGTATAAATGCTGGGTTGTCCTTTGTTTCTAATTGTCCCAATATTTCTCCCTTCCTCTAGATGTACATACTTTAGTGCTCTGCAGATGAGACATTAGTCAATAATATTTCTGACACAAACCACAGCACTTTCAGTTGGGATCAGATTGTGATGCCCTTACCAGAGCTGGTGGAGAATTTTTTGATGAAACTGTTGTTGTTGTAAAATGCTGATTTGTTGAAACTGAAACTTTTCACAAGATTATGACAGATTCTACAAAACTTTCACTGGGAAGGTTTCTTGGGTCCAAGAGGGACTTTCTCTTCAAAACGCTAATAGTCTTTGTGGGAACTGGGAGACCTAGGGTTCAAATCCAGGCTCTGCCCCATTCAGAGTAGGGACTTGAAGTGGGATCTTGCACATCCTAGCTGAGTGCCTCAACCACTGGCTATTGTCTCACCTGGCTTCTGCTTGAAAAATTTTAAGGGTCTCAATTTTATCTCATTGAGGAACGAAAAAATCTTGACCTCTTCCATTTTTGCTAGACCGGAAGACCATTTCCCATCCAGCTCTAGTTCATACTCATAATGGCTCATTCACTTTAAGGTCCCTTTACATTAATGGAATAAAGGACTAATCAGATACCTCCAGAGCAAGCAGCACAAATGGCTACAACTTGAGCTAAAGAGCCAAGCTCTGTAGCCAGGGCCGGCCCACAACATTTTGGCACCTGAGGCGGGGAGCTCAAATGATGCCCCCACGTCCCCTTGCTTGGGCCAAAACTTTGAAAGGTCTCAATTCTGCCTTCTTCCTGTTCTACTCCTCTCATGGGACTTCTCTGCTACTCCTCTCATGGTATGCTCTATTGAGATGTTTGCAAGGCTGACCAGCCTCTCCTGTGTCATTGTGGAGCGTAGATGTGTTTTTATTAACTTCAGCTTGGAGAAGCTGCGTTCTCCACTGGTAACTGTTACAGGAAGTGTTAGAAGTATGCACAGAGCAACAAAAGCATTTGGAAAGAGGGTGGTCATCTTATTTGTGCACTTATATTCCAGAACAGCCTTTGGAGTTGATCCTGCTGAAATGTATCTTGAAAGGGCTTTCAGTTAATCACTTAAATCACTCACATCAATATCGCGCATGTCATCATGTGTCAACACTGTCTCTAGAGCCCTACATTGCTGGTGTAAGTCTTCTTCAGGTATAGTGAGGAGTTTTGGAATATCATATAACATCCCAAATATACTGCTGTGTTCCTTGAGCTTCATGAAACGTTCTTCAACTGACTGTATTGCACAATCTATCACCTGGTTAAAGAATTCAACTTTGAATTGTTGTTTGCGGTCTCTTATGGGATTATCCCGTGCCTTGTAATCAAAGTGTCTTCTTCTTCAGTGACTTTTGTATTCTTGAATGGGTGGGAAAATAGCTTCAGTGTGAAGTTCCTCTGCCAACTTCTGTGCACTCTTCAGAACATTTTGAAATCCCTCATCTGACCGGTAAGACTGTAGGTATGACTTTGCTTTGTTCAGTTGTTCCATTGCTCCAGATATATCAAGGTCAACACCTTGGAGTCTCTTGCTTACAACATTTATTTCAAACAGTATGTCATACCACAACACTAAGCCACACAGAAATTTTAAGTTATGTATGTTTCTGGTGATTCCATTTCCCTCTGCCACTGTTCTCCCATGGACAGTTCCTGTCATAGCATTATCCTCCATAATGGCAACTATGGCATCAAATATCTTCCCAATTTGGTGTTTGATAGGCTTTATCGCCTCCACTTGACTTTCCCATCGTGTGGCACTCAGTGGTTTCAGTGTCAGAGAGGATGTTCCCAGATGTTGCTTCAAAATTTGCCATTGATGAATTGATGCAGAGCAAAATACATAGATGCTCTGAATTACATTAAAAAATTAAGCAGCCTCACTAGAAGCTTGAAGGAACAATAATCCACACCGTGTAGAGTCAAGCACAGGAGTTTATTACGCACAGCGCTGGCGGAGTGTCACTTTGCTTATCAGGCTCAGAGACACTGCAAAACAATTAATTACTATTGATTATATATGGTGCTCATTGGGCGGAGAGAAGCGACAGGGATGGGTTTTCCCAAGCCCTGGATAGGTTGTAGCAGCAAGACAAGATAAGCCCAATAAGCCAATGGTCTAAAAGATTACATAATGGCTCCACCTATGGCGCAAATTAACATATTGCTGACACACAGATAATTACCCCCAGACTATGTCTATTAAAATGTATAGGTTAAATCCTAATTTTGGGGTCCAGGGGAATGAGGTAGCAGCTCTCTCGGTTGACCAACAGGTACATTCCTAGAGATTTAAAGCGAAAAAGCAGTAATTAGTACTTAACAATTTCACAAGTTTACCCTTGCATTTCTGTGGGCTAGGACTGGCATACATCTGTGAGGGGAGGGTGTCATAACTCATGTCAATCATATTAGGCCTCTCCACGAACTTTGTCTAGGATCTGAGGGGTATTGTACCACTATCTCCGCCCTGCATTAGGGAGTAACGGTGAGGCCTTTCTCAGCGCTTCATGTGTCTATAACTCGCAATAAGGATGCCCAATTACATTCGGAGTTATGCTGACTGCGCACACTGACTTGAAACACAAGGTTATCTGTTTACCCCAGCTTCCTCTGAGATATGTCTTGTTCTCTGTTAGCCGGCCCCCATGGCCCAGGCCAAGCTGTGGACTCCGGGCCTATCTGAAAAGTTCTCAGGAGAAACTGTAGTTAAGATCTTACATCCATAGCTAATGGATTCTGATCCTTCAAAACTGATGCTGCATCGCTGACCACCAAGTTCAATGAATGAGAACTGCATGGGACAAAAAAAGCTTGAGGGTTTAACTCTCGGATCCATATCTGCACTCCTCTGTTCTTTCCTCTCATGTTGGAACCATTATCGTAGCCCTGACCTCTCATGTCAGCTATCGCAATTCCCGTATCTTCCAGCTTTTTCAGAAGCACATTTGTCATACCAGCTCCTGTAGTATCATCAATGTCAATAAATTCTAGAAAATGCTCTCTGACAGTCACCATTGCAGGGACATTTTCACTAGGTTCTGTTGTTGTTACAAAACGCACCATTAAAGTCATTTGTTCCGTATGGCTGATGTCAGGTATGCAGTCCAGAATAACAGAGTAATATCTTGCTGACTTCAGATCTGCCACAATCTTCTGTTTGACTTTTGTTGCCAGTAACTGTATGATCTCATTTTGAATTGTTTTTCCAAGTTAGTGGTGTGTGTACATTTCTTGGTTGGTGACTCTTCTTAGATGCTCCTGGAGAACAGCATCAAACTCAGCCATCAGCTCCACAATTTTAAGGAAGTTTCGATGGTTTGATTGTTACAGCTGATCTGAAATGCCACACAGTGCTAAGTTTTGGGTAGCAAGCATTCTCACAATGGCAATGAGCCTTTTCAGAACATTTTGCCAGTAAAGAGACTCTGACGCAATCTTCTCTTGATGCTGATCATCTATGGTGGCCTTTAACCTTAGTCTCATCTGAAGCTCTTTCTACCTATGGAATGCTCTCTAGTGATTTGCTGCCTTCTCATGGCATGCCAGATTTCTAGCCAGATTTTTCCTGTCCTTTGTTCCTGTAGAACCCAATGTGGCTGGAACATTAGACTGGAAGAGTTTGCAACAAAAGCAGTAGGCAGCATTCTGGGTTTTTGAGTACATAAGCCATGGCCTCTCCACTTTATCACCACTGGGGATTTCACACCAGTAATCTGTTGGATGGAAACTTCTATTTTCATTGGCTTTGGGGGACATGAAGTTTTTCACTTGCTGTGGCCCATGCAGTACAAGGAAGTCCCTCAGGCTACTGCTCAAGTGGGTCCACAGTCCTGGATAATCTAGACTTAAGGAACTAAACTCAGCAGCAGCTGTTTCTTGCGCCTCCACCACACTCTTCTCTGATCTACACTTTTCTTCAGGAATGTGCATGGTTACATCCATTTGAGATGGAGAGATGGATGCTGCAGTAGCTGCCAGGTCACCTGCACTCTCACTAACTGGAAAAACAGGCATCTCCTCACCACTCACATCCTCACTGGGGCCGGAAGGCTCACCGTGAACATTTGTGTCTATGTATCTCAGGAGAGCTCCTTCCTGCTTAGATAGAAAAGCTTTCTTTCTTTTTCTGAATGCTGCCCCAAAGGGGTGTTTTCTTCTTTCACTCATGACTGCTGTTCTGTGCCAGCTATAGTGGCTCTCAACAATCAATTGAAGGGGACAAATAAGCAGGCTGGTAGCAGGGCCTGAGTTAGAGAAGATAGCAGCGTCTTAAGGGCCTAACTGGCTCCTACTACTTCAGGTGACTGCCTGTTCTCCTCAAGTGGGTTCAGGGAAGCAGCAGGAAACAGGAAGCTCCCCGAGAAGCTGGTGTTAATCAGTCCAGGTCCCTGGGAGTGCTAGAGAGGTACATAAGAGGCTCCTCCTCCTCTCTCTCCCTGCAGCTCCTGCTGCCTTCTGTTATTCCCTCTCACCTTTTCTCCTGCCTACCTGTTATGTCTCTTGTGCCCTCCTTCCTCCAGCACAGCACTCCACCATCTCTGTGCATCTAGAGCAGAGAGAATACATATGCACCAGCAGCAGACACAATTTTCTACACTCTGGATTCTAGGGGTGCCTCCACCCCCCCCCCACAGTCTGGCACCTGAGGTGGCCGCCTCAGTTTGCCTCATGGTAAGGCCAGCCCTGTCTGTAGCTGTGAACTTTACCAGCCTGGCATCCTCAAGCTCAGT